CATGGGAGGGAGGCTGAGGGGGGCACTGAGGATGGCTTGGCATGAGCCTACAGCTGCCCCTTGACACAAACAACCTGGGCACTGTGGACAATATGATTGATGGCAGCAGGAGGCAGATAGGCTCCTGGGTGGGCCGAAAGGGGTGGGTTTCCAGTGAAGCCCCACCTTCAAGTCAGGGGCGACTGGAAGCATGGGGGCCCACCAATTCCAGGTGTAGTCAGTTCCAGGTGGAGTCTGCAGCCTGGAGTAAGAACTTATGATGCTTTTTGTGGGCCTGGCCATGGCCGTCCACGGACCAATCAGTATGCACTTCCTCCCTTCTGAGGCCCACAAAAACCCCAGACTCAGTCAGACTCACAGAGACATCATGACTACCAGCTGTGGGAAGGACGTACCCACTTTGGTTCTCCTCAAATCATCAGGACAACCTGCCTGCAGAAAGGAGTTATCAACTCCAGGTCTCCTCTCCATGGTAGCTGGACACCACTGAGAGTTGACCTGCCTATAGAAAGAAGCTGCCCACTGTGGGTCTCCTCTCTGCTGAAAGCTGGACACTCATCAGGGCGACCTGCCTGCAGAAAGAAGAGTTACTCCCCTGGGTCTCCTGAAAGCTGTTCTGTAGCTCATTGAAGCTCTTTTCCACCTTGCTCACCTTCCTGTTGTCTGTGTACCTCATTGTGTTAGTCTGTTTTCACGCTGCTGATAAATACCTACCCGAGACTGGGAAGGAAAGGAAGTTTAATTGGACTTACAGTTCCACATGGCTGGGGAGGCCTCAGAATCATGGAGGTAGTCAAAATGCACTTCTTACATGGCGGCAATAAGAGAAAAATGAGGAGAAAGCAAAAGCGGAAACCCCTGATAAACCCATCAGATCTCATGAGACTTACTCACTATCATGAGAATAGCACAGGAAAGACTGGCTCCCATGATTCAAGTACCTCCCCCTGGGTCCCTCCCACAACACTTGGGAATTCTGAGAGATACAATTCAAGTTGAGATTTGAATGGGGACACAGTCAAACCATATCACTCATTCTTCCTGGACATGGGACAAGACATGGGACAAGACCTTGGGACCTGCTGAATGGCACAATTGAAAGAGTTGTAACACCATCAGGGCTGAAACATGCTCCCTGATCGCCATGTTGCAGGCAACAAGAAGGATAGAAGAGCTGTTGCTGGTGGCATTTTTGCCCAAGTATTGCTCGGGCCCACTGGGCTCATTCTGCCCGCTCAACCAGCAGGCTGCACTCTCAGCACAGAGCTCAGACCTAGGGGCTCCCCAAGCCAGGGCTGTGACACCCTTTTTGGGGCTCTGCAGTTCCTGGCATCTCCAAGCCTCTGGATGCCACCATGTTCCCTGGTGCCCACAGTGGAAGCTGCTTGCAATATGCCTGGCCCAGCTTCAGCTTTGCATGAAGCTGCTGCTTGTGCTGGCACCTGGAGCTTCCCACTCTGCCACAGCTGGCATGCCTGGCTGTGCACAGTGGCGGGGTCCCATGCTTGTTCATACACCCCTCACTGCTCTGCATTTGGTGTACCCTTGGCAGGCATGAGATCTGAGCTGGTAGCACTCCCAAGTGCAACCTGCTGGGCTGAGTGAGCACAGTGAGCGCAGCAGGCCTAAGCAAAACTCACACAAAGGTACCACCAGCCACAGAGGTTTCAGTCTGGAAAAATGATACCCCAAAGATCCTATGACAATAGCAGCACAATAACCAAAATGCCAGGCCATTTTATATAAACTGCTTGAGCCTTCATAGATCTGGGTATTTGCAGAGGGTCCTGGAACCAATCCCTTGTGGATACTGAGGGACAACTCTGCTGAGGAGCTAGATAAAGGTGGTGGTTGCACAACATTGTGAATGTACTAAATGTCATTGAATTGTTCACTTTGAAATGGTTAATTTTATGTTACGTAAATTTTAGCTAAAAAAAAAAATGGAGAAGAAGAAATCATATTTGCTGACACAGGAGCCTGAGGGAAAATGGGAAAGTTGAAGTGTGAGCAATTTCAGTTTTCTGTCAGGAGTAAATTAAAAATAATCTAAAGCGAGTTGCCTAAAAACTCAGGGAGACTCTTTTCTTCTGGATGGCAAGCAGGAGAAATGAGATATGAAGAATGTGAAATGGAAGCTCTGACTAAATGTTAATAACGCATAGGCAGTGTGAAAAAGGCAATATTGCATAAAATCTGAAAATCAGTTTTAATCTCGAAAAATAATAGTGGTTCCAATTCCTGTTATTCTTCTAAAATGTAGGCTTAAGGATTAAGACTGAGGCAATAAGAAATATGGGTTTAGGAACAAATATGTACATTTAACATAAAGAATTATTTGAGTCCAGGGACCTGTTTATGAGAGAGATGAGAATGTATTTGATAAAAAGTCTTCTAATCTAGTGCTTCATTTGCCAGTGCCCTGAAACACAGCTTGATGGATGTTTATATTACCTCTGAATCCTTTAATGTAAAGTCCATCTTGTGCATGTGATGTTGATAACAATAGCATTTACTGAGCCCCTACTGTGTGACAGTCCTTGTGCTAAGGGCTCTTAATGGAGTATTTTATTTAATGCTTACCCAGTGAAGCTGGTACCACCGTCATGTGCTTTTTACCAGTGTAGAAACTGAGGCCACAGAGAGATTACAGAGTTGGCCACACATCCAGCAAGGGGTGGATCCAGGATTCCCACACAAGTCTCCTCCAGTCTAAGCTGGGCCCTTCACACCCAGGACCCAGCATGGTGTGGTGAAGCACAATAAACAGTATGAAAAATAATAACTACGTGGTGTAGGGTGTACAGTTTAAGCTCAGTTCCTTTAGACATCACTGGAACTGTTCAGCATTGTAAGAGATAACTGGTTTTTTGTTTTTCTTTTCTGTTGAGCAGCAGATGAAATGAATGCCTTGTTTGTAGGATTCTCGAATGAATAATGTAGTTTTAAACACTGGGATCACCCTGAGGATGGTGAGCTGTTCACCTACAAGACAGACTGATGAGGGGACAGCAGACTCCAACCCACAACTCCCTTGCATCAAGGTTTAGCTCCTTGACTGGAATTACCTAAATGGCTTTAAATTGCTCTTGCTCTCTCTCTGTTGACTCTATATATTTACATTTTAAAAGCTAGATGAGTGGGCACCAGAGTCCCATTTTATGCCATATAATAACTTAGTAGAAGGCGTTTTGGTCTATATCCACATGGTGAACCCCCCATATTGACTTTCTCTTCCCTCTACACACACTGACCACAGCCTGAGGGTGCGGACCACGTGTAGGCTGAGCCCCTCTCCAGTCCCCAGACGTGTGCTCCTGCTGGGAGAAATGCTGACTGATCTGAAATCTGCTTGTGCCAGTCATATGTGTTATTGAATTTAGGTACTTTTACAAACCATCATAACCCACTGAGATAAAAGGACAAAATGGGTTATTTCTGTAAAACTTGAATTGCTAGTTTTAGAATTATTTAATAAAGAGAGTCATTAAAAATTAAACCATTAGAGTACATTGGGATCAAAGAACTATGAAGTATTTGACAGAAGTCTGAAGGATTTTGTATCCAAATTGTAAATTTTGTACTCAAATATCCGTCATGTAATTGGTGGTGGGTATCCCAATTATACTTACAAATTACATGAATGTATTACGTTACCACAGGTACCCTGGAAATATGTACATCTATTATGTATCAATAAAATATAAAATTTTAAAAAGGTAAAATAAAACTCTTATTCTTGGACATATTATGGGTGCAAGAGATGTAAGAGATAGGGGGCAGATCTCCAGCTATCAAACCCACACTAAAAATACTAGCAAAGAAAGTGTACATTTATATGTTTTATGGTAAAATATAATTTTCAAGAATTATAGGTGTTTCTTCATGATTCTCCACTTTATTCGAGTTGGTCGGCCTACTCTAATGGGAAGATCCTAGGCATGAAAGGAAACAGAGCCTTACTTTGCGGACCAAGATTTTTCTCTTTCATGCTTTGATGTCCAGGCTTGCCTGTTAGAAAGAATTTCCTCATTTCAGCCACAGAGCTGAGGGATCCAGCATCTTCCCGTTCACTCTTCTGATCTCTTGCCTACCCTGGGGACACTCTCACTACTACTGCCCCCAGCTTCCTGGGGAGTGGGATCACATGTGTTTGAATGAGCTGGGATTAAGAACTTTGACTTCTCTATCATCCCAACAGCTCTGCCCTCACCTTCCCCCCTCCCTATTCCTGGCTTCCATCTTCATGGCTCTCACCTGCTTCTAAACTTACTTTCAATACACCTGGGTGATGCTGTGACTTCCCCGTCTGTCCACTCCCTTCTCTTTCCCCAAAACCCTGCCCATCCCGTCCTCCATGTTCCTGAGACATGGCTCACTTTACCCAAACCCAGTGAGGGAGGGAGAGCGTGGACAGATAAGGGGACCCTCCAGGAGTCCCTTAGCATCCAGCACCACCCCAGATGTCCCTGTGGCTCAGTCCCAGCAGGCATCTCTTCCACCCACTGTCCATGCTCTTCAAGTGTGATCCATTCTGTGCACACAGAGGGGCTCCAGGCCCCTGGATACATCCTGCCAGAGCCAGTGCCCTTCCTGGAGACACACTGGCTAGAGGTCTCCAGTTCGTGCAGGAGATGTCAGATAGTTGTTCAGCTGTTCCTGAGAGTGGCTGTGGGGATGGGCTCACTGCGATCACCACAGCCCCTCCCACAACAGGCAGCAGCTGAGAGCCCCAGCGTGCCCAGCACCACTGGCCTCTATCTTCCTTCCTTCCCTGAATTACTGGGCTCATTTTTTGAGCGTAGGGAAATTATTTGCCATTTAATCACGGAACATGTCCTGCATCCTGCTTCAGGAAGGCAGACAGACAGATCCCAATCCTGAGGCTTCTCCCCACCCTGGGCACCTGCATCACCTCCAGCATCCGTGTTTGTTGAGGGGTAGACCCTTTAAAAGTGCCACGCATGGAGAAGTCCAGTGTGGGAGCATGCACAGTGGATTCTTGTTAAATGCTGGGGCCAAGAACTCTGATCACGCTGGCAGAGAAGGGCACTGGCAAAGAATCCAGACGTTTGAAGAGGCCACGTGCACAGACACAGGTAGCAGCGCAGACTCAGATTCATCTCCAGAATATACCTTCTGGGAGGAGCCCTGCCTCTGTTTGGGAGATGCCTGGGGGCATCCATGGATCAGATCTACTGGGGTCATGGTGTCTGGCTGGGATGGCCTTGGAAAGACATTTTAGAGTCTCATGTTGAAAGGGGGAGGGCATTGTGGAACCTTCTGGGCAGTTTTCTCAGTCTGCTGCCTTAGATTTGGGTATCATGTTCTGAAATGACTGGGATGGTCAGGAAAGCTCTCTGAGGAGGTGACATTCTGGCTGAGGCCTGGATGGAGATGTGTGAGGAGAATATTTCAGACGTGAGTTGGGGTTGGTATGAAGGAGGCGTGTGCTGAGATGCACAGAAAGGGGCCTGGGGTCCTGTCAGAGTTCAGGCTCTGGGAGAAGCTGCCATGGGCATTTTGTGGCCTCTGATGATCGCTGTGAGTGCCCTTCCTACATGCACACGTCCCTCATGCTGCCTTGCACAGTTCCAAGGTGGAAACCAGACTCCATTTCCCAGCATCCCTTGCAGTCAGGCCCTTCATGTGACTTGAATCCCATCATGTGACCCAGGCTCAACCAATCAGAAGTCTCCTTTGAGCCTCTGCTCAGGAAGAGGGCGTAAAGAAGATGGCACTGGGCGGATCCCTGTGTGGGCGCTGGGCCTGGAAGGGCCTCGTGGATTCAGGGGGAGTGGGAAGGAAGTTCATGTCCCCTCCTGGGGCCATCAGGGCGAGCTGTGGGGTCTGGTTGAATGGCTTTTTTCAGAGCAGCCCCTGGTGTGGGCTGGACACTCGTAGCCACTGAGTCTCTGCCCCCACAAAGGGTTGGGACCTTCCTGATGTCCACACTGGCCCCAAGGAATCTGCTTCCCCTGGGTCTTGTTGGAAATGCACCATCTCATACCCCAGCCCAGACCTTCGAGTCGGGGCCTGCATTTTATCAAGACCCCTGGGGATTTGTGTGTAATGGGAGTTGGAGAAGTGTGATCTGTAACGAGCTCCTCCTGCTTAATGCAGCTGGAGGGTGGGCTTCTGTGGTTACAGCAAAGAACCAGGTGGTACAGAAGCCATGGGAGGGATGTGACCAGGGAGTGAGATGATCGGGTTCATCCTTTATCCATCCTGCTGCTGGACTACAGAGGGGCGAGACAGGAGGCCAGCGTATATCCAGAGAATACACATCTCTGACCAGACAAACACGCAAAACCTGTGAAAAGACCCAGACACACACACCTGCAGGTGAAACTGAGACACACACGCACACACACAAACCCAGAAGCAACCATCTACACAGGCGCACAGAACCACAAAGACACAAGCAGGGCTGGGGCGACTTCACCCCAGAACATCTCCTTTCTTGTTTCCCTGGATCTGCAGGAAGGAGCCGAGCCTGCCTGACTTTGGTCCCTCGCTCACCACTAGACCTTGAAAGTGAAATTGGATATCCACAAGCCCGTGACCTTGGGGTTCTGGAGAATGGGTCCTTAATGAGTGTCCCGGCTCCAGGCCAGATGAAATGCAGGCGTTCCAGCCTCTGTCCGGGTGGGTCCCTCAGCCCACTTGCTGAGGGCCGCAGATGGATGTGGATCAAATGCTAATGGCTTTTCAGCTGGGGCTGCTAGAGCCCAGTGCAGGACCATGGGCAGTGTGTTTGCTGGGGGCACTTTCGCCCTCCACAGGGCATCTCAGGCTACCTGCTGAGACCCAGGTTGGCACAATGTGATATGTGCCATTTTTGCAGCAGCAGGGGACTGGGCACAGAGACAGGGGACATCAGCCTGTGCCCATGATCCAGCTGTAAACACAGATTTATACCCAGGCCAAATCTATCCACGAATCCATTTCAAAAGGAATACAATCGCATTAGAGGGATAGTAATTGTGTAATATATTGCACTTGAAATTAGAATTCTACAAAATTTCATTATTTATGTCTAGACTAAAAGAGATTGAGTTTTGATTATTTAACTACATTTCCTGTTGCTCTGATGAGGAATGATGCTTCTCTAAGGGCCGACTGTCTCATTCCTGAAGAGTGGTGTTTTCAGAGCAGCACCATGAGGGGCTTCTGGAAGTCTCTGGGACTCAGGGTTGGTCTGGAGGGACATGGGGGCTGCCCTGGGCCTGCTTGTCCTCAGGCCGCTTCATCCCCCTTCCCACGAGTCTCTGGGCTCACCCCCCTGGGTCACATTTCCCAGACTCTGACAGGGCTGGTCTCTGCCTGAAGTAGCAGTTGGGGGCTGTGCTGGAGAGTGGGGGCAGGAGGACCCAGGGTGTCCCCCTCTGCCTGGGCCGCATCTGCAGTGCCCATGTCTCCACCATGGCGCCAGTCCCCTCCGTGGCCCTGAGCTGAAGACTGAACCCTCTCTCTTGGCTCCTCTACCCCAGGGTCAATGACAGGTTGTCACTGATCTTTGCCTCACAGGCCCTTGTTTGCCTTCTCAGCTTTCCATGCAGATCCCTGTATTGTCTCTTCCTTGCTGAAGCACCTGCAGTGACCCCCCTTTCCTTGGTTGGAGCCTGGTGCAGATGTGCCCCTCAACAGGACACTCAGGTCTCTACCCCAGCCCATTTCATCCTCCTCTCATCCTCACACACCCTCTGCCCTGGTACCCAGACTTCCTTCTGTCCTCCACACCAGCCCCAGCGCCTTTGCTCTTGCTGCCTGCTTGTCTGGAGTCCCCACTATAAACTCAGCCCCTCTGTGAAGTCCCTGCTTATGTGTGACCTGTGGAAGTCACCATTCCTAAGCCTCCCACCTGCAGATGGGATCTGCTGGGACATTCCAGAGCCCTTGTCTGTCCCCTTGTGGGTGCTTAGAAAGAGTGCATCCTGGGGTGGTCACCCACATTCGCTTTCATTCTTTATGTATCAATTATTCACCAAGTATTCACTGATGCTGACTATGTGTTAACCACTGTGATACAGCAGGATAATCAGGACTCTTTCCATTGTAGGTGACCCAAAGCCAAACTCAAATTGGCTTGAGTAAGAAGGAAAGTTTTCTGACATATAACTATTCATAGCAATGTCAACTTCAGGCATGGCTGGATCTAGCAGATCAACTGAGGTCTCCGAAGGCTATCTCTTTATACCTCTTGGCTCTGCTTTTCTTCACGTTGGTGATGGAGCTACAACAATGTAATGAGAATTTATTTTCAGTTCAAAGTGGCAGAAATCTCTAGAATTGGCTTAAACACCTAATCGCTTATTGATGTAAAAAACTACCCGGGGTAGTTTATCTTCACGCATGACTGGATCCAGGAGATCTCCAGAATTCTCTCTTGTTGCCTCTTACTGTGCTTCCTCTGTATTAGCTGCATCCTCAGACAGAATCCCTCACTGTGGTGTCAAAATATCTTCTAGAGGTCGTGAGTCTTGCATCTCAGCCCCTCAGGAACCCTGCTGGAAGGGGAAGTTCTTGATTTCTCCAGTCCTTTAAAACAAGAGTTGCAAAATTTAGTTTCCTTGTCTCCTGAAGGTCTGGTTTGGGTCACACATCCATCTGTGTTCCTATAATTGTGGCCAGGGGAATGCAGGGGTTTGATTGTCTGTGCCTGACACACAGGCCCAATGAACCAACCGTAAGTTTCCAGCAAGTGAAGTATATATGTGTAAGCAATGAAAGATTACATATATTCTATTCAAAGTTTGATTTTGAGAAAAATTGTAGATTCATGTGCTGTTGTAAGAAGTAATACAGGACCTTTTGCAACTGTTACCTAGTTTCCCCAGTGGTAACTTCTGGCAAAATGATGGCCCAATATCACAGCCAGAGCATCCCCAGTGAGGTCTTGTCAGGTGGAAAAATGGTGGCCATCCCAGCCAAAATGTCAGAGATAGTTCTTGGTTGTGTTGTCAGATGCGCCATAGGCTTCTGTGCATGCATCAGTGTGTTTGCAAGAACACCGCACAGGGTAGCAGATGTTCGCCACAGAGGCCACAGGCTACAGGGGTTTCGTGACGTGTGGTTAGACTGGAGGAGGCACTCAGAGCCTCGTGAGTTATGCGTTAGCTTTAGAGGAGAAAATGTTCTTACACTGGTGTGCAACTAGAGATTAGTTTCCCAAGATGGTGGACTAGGAATGTGTTCATGCATCTCTGTGTAGTTAAAATTGATTTTTAAAAATAGAAAAAAAAAAACGTAGTGTCCATTTCCCTGAAGGCAGAATGTCTCTTATCTAGCGTGATGTTTGTCACATGACTGGCAGAGACTGTATGATTTTCTTGCATCTCCTCAGTAGATTGCTGGAAAAATTTTCTAACACAATAAGGTTAAGAGCTTCTTTATTATTATAGCTTTGTATAATTGCAGCATTTTATTGATGATATAAACCAGCATGGACTCTCAGTCTATAAACAGTCCCCTTCCTCCCTGTAGCAGAGAATGCCTTTCCTGTGGTTAACGGGGACATATTCCTGGCTTCAGAAGGGAAGAACTATCTTCAGAGGGTAGCCAGTCCCGCAGATCCTGGTCTTGCAGGCAGTGGGCGCTGTTGCGCTGTCCTGGGAGGGTAAAAAGTCAAGGTTACTTTTCTATAGGGCAGGGGAGAAGGGAATACATGTACAATATGCAGCACGCACAGCCCCTGCTCCAGGATCTGCAGTGACTTCCTACTGACATTCATGATGGAAGAACTACTGGCGGAGGGGAGGGAAGACCACACACGCACCATTTATCTGGTGTATGTGTGCCACAAGCTCACTCAGTGTGTTTTATGCATCCTCTGATGCATACTTCAAGTAATCCTGTGGCACAGACATGAAAACTATCCCCATTCTACAGAGGCAGGAGCTAGGCTCAACTCCTAATGGTGGGGCCCATGTCTACACCCATGTCTGATTTAACAAGAGCCTGTGCCACTTGCTACAGCCCTTCAAGTCTTCAGTACCATCTTGGCTCTGGCTTGTGAGCAAGTTGCCTAAGTTCATGGATAGGGGTGTGGGTGCTGAGCATGCCCTCCTTTTTTTCTTTTGCCTCAGGGAAATGAAAGGATATACATGGAAATGGAGTTGAGGAGGAAGGTCTGAAAGGCAAAGGAGGAGGAGTCCATTTTATTCTTACCTCCTGGTTATCCATCATTATTACCATTATCATCATTATCTTCATCATCCTCATCATCACCATCACCATTCACCATTGTCATTGTAATAATCATTGTCATTATTGTCATCTTCATTATCATCATGTTCTTTGCCATCATCACCTTTGTTACCATCAACATCCCCTTCGTCATCACTATTGTCATAACTATCACCATTATCATTATCACCATCACCAGCACCAGCATCATACCATCCTCATCATCACCATTATGATCTCTATCACCATCATGACCAGCATCATTATAACCATCCTCACCATCACCATCATCACCATCATCATCACCATCATCCTCACCATCACCATCGATCATCGTCATCACCATCATTACCATCATCATAACCATCATCCCCACCATCCTCACATCATCATCCTCACCATCACCATCACCATCATCATCACCATCAACACCACTGTCATCATCACTGTCATTATTGTCATCTTCTGCATTATCATCATATTTCTTACCATACTCATCACCAGCACCCCCATCCTTGTCATTTCATTATCACTGTTACTGTGTTCTTCATTATCATAATCATATGTTTTACCATCATCACTCTCATCACCTTCACTATCACTGTTGCCATAACTGTCATCATTTTCACCACCACCATTATCTCAGCCATCATGAAATATGGTGCTCCCCCATCCCAGTGACTGCACTAGGTGATTTTCATCTATTACTTCTCTATCATTATCCCAAGCCTAGAAGGTAGGTGTCATCATAATCCCCATTTTAATGATAACGAAATTGGGCCACAGAGAGGTTATGGAGCTCACCTAATGTCACACAGGTAATACTGGCATAGTCTGGATTCAAACCCAGCAATCTGCCCCCACAGTTCATTATCTTAGGCACTCCCTGTACTGTAAAATAAAATCTGGGATGCCTGAGTAGGAGTGGCCTCTGTAAGGGCTCCTGGAGACTCCAGCCCCAGGATGTGAACCCTGAACCACCCCTGGTCAATGTGCTGATAGGAAGAACCAGTATTAATGATACTTGCTCTGTGCTGACCACACTTGTGGGAGAATTACTTATAAGACCTGCACACTGAACGATCATCCTAACAGGTGGGGATTGCCTTATTTTCAATATGCAAACAAGGAAACTGAGGCACTCAGTGGTGTGGTTAGTTGCCCAAGCACACAGTGCGTGAGTAACGGGGCTGGGATTTGTTATCCTCCTCATCCTCATCACCATCTTCATCCTCATCACAGTCACCCTTCCCTCCTTTCTTTTTGTAAATGATTGTTTTTTCTATATGTCTTTATTCCTTTGAGAAAGGGAGGTCATTTTTCATTGTGGTTTTGATTAACTTGTTTTTTTCTTAAACATACAGGCACTGTTTGGAGATTTACACAGATAATATGTTCAGATATTGTGAAATTAAAACCAAGTAATTGTCTAAAATAAGAAGAAAAAGTCTGGTCATTCATTCTCACTAGTAGTATTTTTATAGCTTTCCTTCAGTCTTATTTTTCTGAAAAGATATGCTTTTTTTTTTTTTTTTTTTTAACCAAACAGGTATGAATGCAGTCCATGCTAGTTCACAACCACCCTCCCTCACTGGGTGATCTATCATAACACATCATGCCATATCCTGCCACTGTGGTCCCTGTACAGGTGCTTCATGATAGGGAACCTTCAGGCATGACTATGGCCAGCCCCTCCCACCTGTCCTCATGGCTGGTCAGTGGGACAATGCTCTGTTCCCCCATCTCCCTCTTTCCATCTTTATCCCACTGTTCCTTGATCATCAGCCCCTGATCTACACCAGGGGACCTTTGCTCCCTTGTCTTCTGGGATCCTCCTCCTCACAGGGGGTTTACAGCCCATATGTGATCTCACCCCACACCTTTGTCACACATGCCCTGAGGCCCTCCCACTCCAGACACTGGGCTGGGTACTGGGGACATAGGGACAGCCCGGCCGACATTACTTGATCCCTTACAGGCACCAGGAATTTACTCGTCTAATCCCCTGCATTTTCACAGCAGCCCTACGAGGTGTGTTCTGTTCTGTTCCTGAATGGAACATAGATAAAGTGAGGTGGACGTTGCACAGTGAGCAAGAGGAGAGGCCGGACTTCACCCCAGGCTATCAGAATCCAGGGTTGAGCCCCGAACTCTCATGCTAGTCCATGGCCCCAGCCTGGGAGGAGGTCACCCTGTGTCAGAGGACCCTTCCCCGTCCCTGCCTTGTGTCGTGAGGAAGGCCAGACAGGGCCCTAAGTGCTCTGAGCAGCTGGAACTCGTTGGGATACAAGTGGCAGAAAAGCCAACTTTAACGAGAGGATTTTGGATTCAAGCTCCTGCACAGTCCAGGGCTAGAGCTGGCTCCTGCAAGACTGGATTCAGGCTCCGTGGCGCCATCAGGGCCCGATGCCTCTCTCCCCGCACCACTGTCTCCTAGGTTCTTTCACGTTGACTCCTTTCTCTGACAGGCTCCTCCTTCATGGATGCAAAATGGCTGCAGCAGCTCCAGACCTCACATTGTCTCAGCTTCAAGTCCACTGGGAAGCCACCTGCCTGGGCCCCAGCATTCCCTGCAATCATCTCATTGGATCCCACTGGGTCGGACTGGGTCACGTGTCCATCCCTGAGCCAATCACAGTGACTGGTGGAATAAATGCCCTGATTGACTTAGGCGTGGGGAAGTCACGTGGTCTTGTCTGAGGCCTTCTGGAGCCTTTTCCAAAAGACAGGACCGAGAGCGGGAAGGGACAGCTCACCAGAGATGCGCTGGCCTGTGCTCACCAGGGAGAGGGAAGAGACAACGCTTGGCACAGCCCACAGCACGGCTGCTCATAAACACTCACAGCCCCTCCGTGGTCAGAGGACCTTCCCCACCACTGACATCAGGTCGGGCCGTGTGGCCCCCTTCGTCCATGAAACTGGAGAGGAAGTGAGGGGCGTCGCTTCTGGGCAGAAGCTTTAGTACTTCATGAGTTATTCGTCACATTCTTCTTCCCTCTGAGCACATGAAGTGCAGATGGCGAGGGGGAGACGCCCAGTCAAGGGACAGTGGACGAGGAGCGTGAGCCGGGGCGAGCCTTTCCCTTCGTGAGCAGCTGGGATCGGGGATGTTTGTTACCGCAGGGCAGCCTAGCGCGTCCCGACCAATTCCCACTTACACACACAGTGCGCGTTTGCCATGGACCAGGACCTGGGCATCACTGGGGCTTGTTTCCCCACAGAGCCAAGTCTGCAGGGCACCCAGCAAATAACCCCCAAGTCACTGTTCATGCTGCTCCTGCTTCCCTGGGTGGCTCCTTCCCCCTGCAGAGCCTCCAGAGCCGCGCATGCTCCTTGCTCCAGCCTGAAGCACCAGGAGGCCCCAGCAGCAGGTTACACCAGCAAGCGGAGTTCTGGCTCACGCCCGCTGAACCGTGGAAATGAGTCTGGTTTGACTCGATTATCCTCAGGCCTCTGGGCCTTGGGGTGTGATCAGTTTCTGCACTCGATAAAAATAGCTGGAGGGAGAGCTTGCCCCAGACGATGGACGTAGAGAAGAACGCAAATTTTTGACTGTTTTTCTTTTTGTCTCTCCACTATTTCAGGAATATGTGGTGCACTGCATGCCAAGAATGTTCCCCAGAGTCACACAGGGCTCAAGGCCATCCCAATGCACA